CCCCAAAACCCCAAAACCCCAAAACCCCAAGAGAAAGTATATTAAAGTAAGGGCAAAAAGACAAGGCAATTAAGTTCAAATAATATCCCTCTTATATAATTCAAATTAATTTAAATCTCAGATACATTCTAAAAATAACTTTAAAAACAAATGAGAAACAGTTTGAAATAATCCTGCATCATAGCTACTAGTCTGTGTTTCATTTAGGTATTGAATGCCTAAGCCGATAACACACAAATTTTAGCTGATTGCAAAACCTTTGCTAAATTGTTCAGAAATACATGTGCAAGCTAAGATACTCCAGCAGCCTCAATAGCAGCTTTGACTGGAGTTACCGTTTCTTGCCCAAAGAATGAAATTTGCCCAGTTGGATCTGGTACGAGTCCACCAACCTGCTCATGGGTAAGAAAGCTTTGTGTTACCTGCCAGATCGAAAATAACAGAGTTTTCATAAGATACTAATCCAATGGCTTGCCTGACCACTGTTATGGAGGTAAACCTAATGTTACATCAGGGATCTATGATGTTAAAATGATCTATGATAGCCCTCTTGACTAAATTCCAACTAAAAATTTCACTTCTTAAGATAACTATGATCAAGAAACATGCAGTCCTGGTAGAGGTGGACAAAGGAACATCCCAAGAGCAGTAAATTACTCGATGGTTGCGAATGATACGAACACAGCTAAATTTATAGATGGAATTGCAGGTTTTGCATTAAATGGAGTCCCAATTTTTACTGCAAGTTCTGCTGAAAAAACTGATCCATATTATCCCAAAAATTGGGCTGGCTCAAGCACAGGAAAGGTTGAAATCGTTGATGCTTGTGTTGGCCACCCTCAGGAATCTGGACTCTACCACTATCATATGCTACCTCCATGTCTGGTTAATGCAGCTAATTTGGAAACCTCAAGTGTTTGTGAAAAAGTATCATCTTGCATTAATGATGTAAAGCAATACTCATTAGATGCTTATACAGCAACTTCAAAAAAGATAACTTATTTAGGTATTGCTAAGGATGGTAGAGCTATAATAGGGCCTTATGCAGCAGATGGCAATCTAATTAGTTGTGGAGACTTAGATTAATGTGGAGGTATGAAGTTAGATGGTGGAAAATATGTGTATGTCTATCTGAATACTTATCCCTATGCAATCGGTTGTTTCGGACCTGGTCAGGCCTAATAATATGCACCTAGTTGTTCTACAAACACTTGCAGCTCTCTTAAATCTGAAGCAAAATCAGTCTATCAATTCATAAGCTTTGGATTGATTGCTGTAATAGCCTTGATTAACATTATATATTGAAAACTTTAGAATGGATTTTACTGCTGTCAGTTTTTATCTTTAAACATTTGTTTTGAACATTGATTTGAGGGGTTTTGGGGTTTTGGGGTTTTGGGGTTTTGGGG